CAGCAGCAGTGTTAAAACTTTTGCTGCAGAATGAAATTTAAAAAATGTATATTTCCTTTATCATAAAAAAAAAATTATGAAAAACTAAAACAAAAAAAAATCAGTTTTTGCATTATAAAATAAGTTCTGACTTCATTCTAGCATATAAAAATATTGAGCAACTCTATACTTCTAGATAAACATTTTAGAAAATTATCATATCAGTTTTTCTCATTTGGTAACAATGGATTGTAAAGGATTAAGAGATTGACACTAGGCAAAGAATGTTTATTTTATAGGTCCAGACAGTACCAAATCTTTAAAGTAATTTAACAGGACAAAATAGAGAAGAAAAATCATATAAGAAATTCCAATGTCATTGTTTACATTTCCTGTTTTTAAAGTATTAAAATTATCATTGCAAATACCTTTGCTTTTGCAGTTATTGGATATTAAAATCAAATTGTTTGTGGAAAATTTATAATGAAAAAATTCCTGAATGTTTGAACATGAACTTAATAAATAGAGTAATATAAATTAACTAACATATTATTTTTAACTCAACGATATAATAATGACAAGTAAAAAAATGAATTATATTAAGCCATTCTGTAAATTGTATTCTGCATATGAAGTTATTTCATACCAACAAAAACTAGTCCAATCTTTTTGAGCATAAATTTGTTTTTAATGATGATGTAAAGCATATAATTTGATGAAAAAATAGCCCAGAAGGGATCTAATTTACTTTCTTTCTTCTTTTCAAAGATAAATTCAATTCTAACCAAATAGAAGGCCAAAATTTTAGATTTCAGTGGATCAAATACTGATTAACAAAATAAGGATGAACAATGACCACATATTGTTTCTTAAAAAATCAGCATTTTTTTTCTCAATTGATTTATTTCTATCATCAGGGGTAAATAAGTTTAGCCCATAAACTTATACTTAATAGTTAATAATTAATGTTAGGAGAATAAAAATATATTTAACCAATAAAACACAACATTTAAACAGCCGCAATAAGCTTAAAAGTAGTAACTGACAAATAAATGAACTTTAGATAAGGATGATGGATAATGCAACAATAGTTTTTAAAAAAATATATATATCAGACTAGTATGTGATTAAAATTAACCTTAAACATTGGTTTCTTTTATATTATTAATTGAAAAATATTTTAGAGCTTAGTGTTCTTAGTATTGTATACTATTCTACTTTTTTTGTTCTATTCCTAGGTATGTCAAATATTAGACACACAAACATGAAATAGGTAAGAAATAACACATTTGTTTGTTATCTGTCTGGTCTCACTCTAAAAGTTCCATGAATTAGTAGGATCCCTAATGGCTGAGTGTACTATAGGGCTGAAAAGCTTCTAGTTTTGAGTTATATTCTCATATCTATCATGTTATATCTCTTAGTTCATATTTATTTCATTGTATTTTTGAACTAAATCTTGAAACTTGGAAGGAGGGGTAAACGAAAAGTAGTTTCCTACATTTATAACAAATAATTCTCTGAAGAAACTAACGACGTGGAAAAAGAATAGTGCCGGTCTAAGACGTAAGGTGTCCTCAGGCAATTATTTCATCAGCACTCTTTTTCTACATCATAAAGGGTAGGTAAACAGTTCTGTTTGTCCTGTCAGTATCTCTTATGCCAGTAGCGCGTTGTAACCAATGTTCAAAGTTGGTATAAAAATGAATGGAACAAGAATTCGATGAAGAGTATACATGAAGCACCACTAGTGGATTCTGAATTTAATTTAGGGGTTCTTTTTTTTTAATATATAATGATAATTACTGGAAGAAAATAAGAAACTAACTGCATATATAAAATAGAGTTTAAGTAATTCTTTAAGTCCTATGAAATGTAATTAAATGAACAATAGAGATAATTTTTTTCATCGTCATGATTATATTTTACCATTTTGGGAATGCTTCAGCCTGCTCCACCAACATGATGAAGTCCCCCTGTAGATCCGCCTGTGTGAAGCACCTAAAACAAAAGTAATCACCTAGTTAATTGTTGACAAAACAATGATTAGGAGATTCATTTGATTAGTGCTGACTTAAATCCTTAAGTTGATTAATTGATTAATTAATTTAATAAATTATATAGCTTTATTAATGGAATAGGAAAATTACAAGATTAACAATAAATTTAAATTGTTTTATTCAAAATCAATGATTCTCACTCTTCTTTAGATCTAGATGCTTCATTCATAAAATCTAATAAATTAATTTAAATTGCATGTAGTCATGCATCCATTATCACAGCAATGATGTTTTATAAGTGTTTTCATTATATTCCAATGTCTTGTGTTTTATATAAACTTCAATCAGAATTTTATAGTGTTACTGGATGGCTATATCTTTTGAAATTTCTTTATGTTACATGTATACCTTTTAACATCTAAGTGTATCTACTGTAAACATAAATATTTTAACTAATAAGATTATTTAATACTATTTTAAAGAAAATATTATCATAAAAAAATATACTAATATTATTATAGACTAGATTTATATTAGTTATATTATTAGAACTTTTATTTTTATTTATTTATTGTTACATTCCGCATCTATCCTATCGGGTCATTAGCGGCCAATATTATTAGAACTAATACCCAGATTGAAATAAAGGAAACTTACTATTTACCATTTCATAAATGGATATCATAAAATGACTGTAAGAGTTGTTACATTGATAAATTGGAACAAGATTATTATAAATACCTCAATTTTAAAAATCTATGGACTCAAAAGATCACCTATGAAAATAAAATATTGATGTAAAAATTCAAAAGAATACCCAATGAGTGGCAGAAACAGGACAATATATTGTTGAAATATTTCTCAGATATCTCAACTTTGATTTGTGAAGCAGTGAAATAGATCTTAAACAGTAATGATATGTATTAATTTTATACAACCTAAATAATTGTATATCAAATTATTTTGAGATCTTAGATCACCCTTAGTTAAGTTACAAATTCGGTGCTAAATAAACCTTCTGAGCCAAAGCATAAAGGTGCTCTTATTTCAGAGCACAATTTATAAAAATTTCTCCTTAGCTGAAATTAAATTTTGTCTGCTATAGGAAGATACTTACAGGAAAAAAAATTTTGAACTAAAATTGTATTTAATCTCACATATAATTGGTATATTTATTTATTATTACTCAATTTTTATTTATTTTATTTTTTTGTTGGTACACCATATCTTCAATAATTCTTCATCAAATCCAATGATTGAGCCTTCATTTTGAATCTTTTATTCTCAATCCGCCAAAACTTCAGAAAAAAAAGTTATGATGAAAAAGAAATTTCATTTATAATAACTCAAAAAGTATACATTTTACTGTTGAATTCACTAGCGGATTCAGGATTTCATTTTGGGAAGAAGGACTTCAGCTCAAAAACTTTTTCTTTTTTTAAATATAATTAAAATTACTTAGAAAGAAAAAGAAAGAAAGTAACTAAGTATACAAAATGAGTTTAAATGATTCTTGAAGTCCTATTAAATGTAATTACACGAACAATAATACTTTTAGAAATCATATTTTTATGTTATTTTCATAAGACATGGTATTATTTTACTATTTTTTTTTGGGAGGAGGGGTGCGTCAGCCCGAAAGCCCCCCACCTTTAGACCTGTGGAATACACTGCACGTATGATTATTTGAAAGGTGATTAAATTCTCTGGAAAACAAAATAAAAATCATCATTAGCAAAGATACAGCTTATTGTAATTTGTAAACAGATTTACTTTATTACCATGAATGAAGTTTAGAATTCATTTTCTTTTTCTTGATTGATTACAATTACCAATAAAAATAGAATCAATCCCTCCATCATATGGTACAATGGACTAACTTATGTCCTTCTTATTATGTTATTAGTTCACTGACCAATATACTATGCAAATTATTTGGACAAGCCAAATTGTTACTGATTTTTTAAATAATATTTTTGTTTTTAAATTTACAATATAAATGCCTTTTTATTAGAAATTATATAGCTTTTATAGTATTTAAAAATATAAAGTGTAAAATTATAAACAAAAACAAAACTTAAAGTTTAAATTACTTTCAATATTAACCTGAAATTTTTGTTTGACTTTTTTGTTGTATCACTATTTTATTTTGCAAATAACCTTGTAGAAAAAAAAATCAGTACTACTCCTTTATTTCCTTTATTTATACACTTAAAATAAAAGAACAAAACAATGTGCCACTCTTTCCACTTATTGCTTGTATTGGAACATGTTTTAAATTTATGAAGCCATTTATTTGATATCTTAAAATCATTTTGAACCATATTTTGTCCAACTTCTTTCTTCAATAGATTTTGTTTGAACAGGTGGCTGACTGTAGATGGACGTTACTTGATCTTTATGACAAGTCCTGAAATTTTAGGATTTTTTCTTTTTTAAAAGGTCAAGTATCTGTGTTTTCCAATTCTGAATTGAGTGGATAGTTAAAAAATATTGAGTTTTTTTTTTACAAGTCCTCATTTCATGAATATTTCTAAAACTCTGTGTTTTTTTTTTTCTAAATGGTTCCATCAAGGAAGGAGCCCATTTAATTGAGTTACTGTTTGATTAAGATTGATCGGTTTATAAAACTGAATATCATATGATTCTGTGTGGCATCTTATATATTAAATGTTGAACCATAAATTTAGTAATGAATCATAATTTGTAGTATGATCAAATATTGAAAAAAATGTCATCTATATCAGAAATAGTTTTTACATACCATTAGTTTGAAGTCCTATTAAATGTAATTACACGAACAATAATACTTTTAGAAATCATATTTTTATGTTATTTTCATAAGACATGGTATTATTTTACTATTTTTTTTTGGGAGGAGGGGTGCGTCAGCCCGAAAGCCCCCCACCTTTAGACCTTATTATTATTTAATTATTTGGTGTTTTTTAAAATTCTTAAAACATAGAAATAATAATAAAAATATTTCTGTTCAATAATGTTTTTTATTCCATGTTTTTACAGAACAGATTCATTTGGTAAAGGTCGAGGTCGTGGTAAAGCATCATCTCCTCCTCCTCTTCCACCAAGAGCACCTCAATGGGTAGCTTTTGATGAGCCAGAGCGCAGAAGACCACCACGCAGAATAACTACTCTCCCTTACACCTATGTCAACCCTGAGGAATGTACTTGCGAGTGTCATGAGACACAGCATAGGTCTACAAAAGACTCCCAATGCTCCAAACCAGAACAGTGTTCATACCCAAAAAAGGGCAGTAGGACAGAAAAAGAAAAACGTTACAGAACTTGAGAGAGATGACTTAATTTAAAAAATGCCTTTTATGTCATAGTTATATATAGTTGATTTATTTGGTTAAGTCTAGTGTATCATATCCTGCTGAAGTTCAGTGTGCACAAAATGATCAATGATAAATAACAGTTACAATAGAAAACAAATTATATTCAATTTATATATATTATGTTAAAATTACACATATTGATGCCAGAAAAATATTTTGTGAATATATTTGAATAAACAAAATCTTAAAAATAAACATTGAACAATTCAGCGATAGTGAAGACTATTTGCTATTATTGACAAACTTAATTTTGAAAATACAAATTTTAATTTTATATATTCCTGTCAACAAATTAAATTATTTATTTGAATTATTTATTTATACAAAAGTATCAAGATGAAAAAAAAAATTAAACTATCATCCACTATACAATTAATGTTTCTTAATAACAAAGTATATATTTACTAAAAACTACAAACTGGTAATTTTAAACAACAAAAGATAGCCAGTGATTGGTAGAAAAATAATTTATTTGTTCAAGTTAAATATATATATATGAACGTAATAGTTTTACAACTAATAAAAAAACTTCAGATGTGTGTAAAATGGGAACAGTAGATTAAAAATGTATTTATAAATTGACTATTTGAAAATCATAATAGACCAGGAGCATTAGGAAGATATACTGGATGATACACTAGAAGTTAGCTGATAAATATTGTTGTTTATTAATGATTCAAAGCATGTTTATATTTTCTATGTGTCAATCCCTGGGGTTATATGGGGGGGTTAAATTATAGTTGAGAGCTTATTTTTAAGAGAACTGTTAAATTTTGAAACCTGGATGCATTGTGTATGAAGGATATACTTAATTATACATATATATATATATATATATTCTTTCTTTCATGAAGGGATTTTTGCATAGATCAGCATAAGATATAGGATAAAGGAACTGCTGCTTGTTTTGTTTTATAAAGCAATCAGACAGTGCTTGTAAATAAAATATTGACTGCTGTAGTATGGTAGTAACCGTGAAAGTATGAGGATTAGCCACTAGCGGATCCAGGATTTAATATTGGGGGGGCTTCAGCCCGAAAGCTTTTTTTTTTCATACAAATGACGATAATTACTTTTGAAAAAAAGAAAGAAACTAACTGTCTATATGAATGGTGTTTAAGTGATTCCTTAAGTCCTTTTAAATGTTATTACACAAACAATAATACTTTAAGAGATAATTTTTTAATGTAGTTTTCCATAAAGCATGGTTATATTTCACCATTTTGGGGGGAGCTTTAGCCCGAAAGCCTCCCCTCCCCCCCGGAGATCCACCCGTGGGATTAGCTATGAACAATTAGTGTAAAACTTAGGAGTTCATGCGCAAGTAAATAAAATAAAATTTAATTTAAAGTAAATCTCTAACAATCAATTCTAATAATTATTCCAAAGACTTCAAGGTAACATTTCCAAAAACATTTAATTAATGAGGAAAACAAAGTGAACACTGAAACATTATAAATTTTTATAGCTTATTCAGCGAAACTACAGTACACAAAAATTAAATACTTGCAAGAGAATTATTTTTTAATTTTAATAATTCAAACATTAAATTGGCATTATTTAAAAAAAAATTATCAAATAATAAATTTCGTATTATAAAGGGCTGCATTATGTTTTGGAATAAGTATACAGCATATCCATGATGATAAAGGCACAACTTAAAATTTCTAGCATAAGAAAGTTTAATGCTTAAACCTCATCCCAAAGAGCAGCCTCAAGTATCAGGTCAACCAATTGACAACATAAGTTATCAACCAGCAACTGAGTAGAAGGAAACAACTTGAGGACTTCTATGTAAAGCATAGCCTCTGTGCAAAGATCATTCTAACAATAAAACATTTATTGAATTGCGCTCCTTTGATTATGATCTATATTTATAATTGTAAGGGATGTTTATGAATATATCAGATATTTAAATATCAATTAAAAGAGTTGCTTTATTATTTTTTAAATTTATGTTAGAAAAAATGTTTTTAAATAAAGTAATACATATTTTAAAGAACCACTTCTCACAACTTTATTTATTTATACAAAATAATTGGGAATATTTTTGGTATTCATAGTTACAAAATAATAGAAGAAAGCATTAAAATTTGTCATGTTGGAAAAATAGTTGACTGTAGATAATATGGTTGCAAGCTTAGTTGGGGGTTGCAGTCACATAGAAAAATAAATGAAAACAATTTTTTTTATTAACAAACTAGCTTGTAGGGAGTTTCTAATTTTAGTAGATTTTGCTATATCTCATCCTATAAATGTTATTGTATAGCTTCTGAAAGTTCATAAAGAGATGGTGTGTGGTAATATTATACTCTTTGGGTTTTTCTAGGATAGCTCTTATTGAGAAGATTTGATCTGCAATTCCTCGAACCCTCATGAATCCTGCCTATTACAATCTCACTTCTTGTCATGAGATTGAACAGATTTCCTAGTATAGCAACACTTGGGGCCACTTGCCACACAGGAGACAAAAGTCTCCATGCCACTTAAGCTGTTGCTTTTGAAGGAAGCTCTTTCATTCTCTTACTAGCAGCCGATTTCTTATACTCTTATTAAGAACACAGTCTCTCTTATTTGCCAACCACTCTGTGCAGGAATTTCATTCCTGCTCCTGTGATTTGGTCGAAGGATTTGTTAAGAATGACCTTAGCTTTCATTTCCATGTTATTTCCATATCACGTGGAGGATTACATGGTTAGAATTAAAAGAGCAAATTGTCTTTTCATTAATAGGGTGTTGTGTTCTTTTTATTGTTCCTTACCTTTGCCTTTGAACAGTTATTGACATAGAGGGTCCTCAATCCAAAGGAGCCAGTTGGCTCCATCCCAACACATTCTGTTAATTTTAGTCTATGTTGCTTACTTCTTTTTTTTTTTTTTCATTTTGCTGCCACCAACAATTTGTCTTAGTCTTCTTTCCAAAAGTTTGTTAATAATTTATATACAACTAAAAGAAGACTGATCATCCAATAGTTTTTGTATTCTGTATTGCTTGCCTTTTTATTTTGTTGTATTCGACACTAGTTGTTATGGAATTGCATTTGACTTGAAATAATGCGCCCGCCCAGTTGTAAGGGCCTAGTTAGTGTAGGATCTGCAGCATTCATTTTTTCTTTTCAGATGGGATTCTTGGAGCTTGGTCTTTGAATGCGATGTTTATTTTTCTCTTTGACTTCAAACACCACTTAAATCCCCAACCAGTAAAATTCATCATAAGTTATCTGATGTAGATATTAAATGCTGCCTTCATTGTTGTCATCTCCAGAATAACATTACAATTTTTTTTAAAATAGATTTTTACTAATGGCAAAGATAATACCAGTGATATTTTATAAATATTAGAACTCATAATAAAAAAATCATCCTGTTGATATATAATGATTTTGATTTCCTCTTTTGATTTTGTAAACAAGATATATTAGCTTGAAATAAAAAAGTTTAAAAAAAATAATCAGTCAAGCAGCAATTGTTTTATCCTTTTCCTTATTCCTGTTTATGATGCACACCTGCAATTTCAATGTGATATAAAGCCACTAATTTGAGTGTGTTTAGAATCTTAATACATTAATCCGTTTAAATATGTTTGGTCTTTAGAAATTTATTTTTAGATTTCTCATCGACTTATGTAAATGTTACAAAATCTAGTGTTCTAAAGTTTTTAATATTTATTGAAAAAATGTATTTAAAAAAAATGAAAGTGTATAATAAATGAAATTTGTTCTCTAACCAGACAAAACAGATACTAAAAAATAAATCTATGTACATAATGAGAATAACTAAAAGCAAAATGAAAAAAATAAATTAATATATAATTTCAATACAATTAAACCTAAGAAAATCAAATTAAATTTTATGTTTTGTCTTCTCTTTAAAAGCAAATAAAAAAATGATAAGTCTTGCCTAATGTTTTCGTCTGGTGAGAAAGCAAAGGATTTAGTCTGATCCAAATAAATCTATATAAAATTCATTACTATGATTAAACATTTTATTGAAACAATATTTTGCTGTAAAACTTTTATTCATTGTATACAATAATTAAGCGATTGAACCCAGTTCTTATATGCATTTAAACCTTCATCCACTTTGTTCGTTGTACATTAAAGTTGTAAATATACAAGAAATAAAAATTTAAATATTATGTATATGCTTTTCAACCAGTTTCCTCAGATTTTAGAGGGTTTTTTTTTTATCAATAAGTTTGGTTCTCTCAATTCATCAGCTGTACTTCAGTTTTTCTTTTGGGTAATATGTTACAAAACCCATTAACATATTTTGAACATATCTTAAGGTAATAGTTTACATTTCATAATGGTTAATTTAAGGATAATAGTAAAAAATAAATCCACATAAAATTTATTAGTAAAAAAAGAAATACTATTGTTAAATAAGGTTATAGGAAGTTTTAGTTGACTCCTTAATAATTTTTTATACCTCAATCTCCTGTCTAGTACTTTTCTAAATCAATATCTACAACTAAACATTGTATGTCTACGAGACTGATATTAGTATTTGAGATATGTATTTGACTGTGATGTTACAGTATTTTTTTCCTGGAAATTGGTTAACCGGAAGTGGCACTTTATGTAATCGATTTTTAACGCATTTACAATTTTCTCAAAAACGACTCCGACGATTTAGATTAAACTCAATGTAATATCGTATAATTGAATGGTCATTAATATCAGTCAGGTTTAATTCCGATTGGAGTCGCTTAACAGGGCTTAAATATCTAAAGTTAAACATTTCTTCTCCTAAAGTTCCTTTAATTTTGAATAATCAACTGTCTGATAATATATTTAAATAACTAGATATCTATCGTCGGTTAATTTAGAAAAATCATCATGTAACATTTTACAAAACTAAATTATCGAATAATTTGGCGTATTTTCCCACTGTGAAATAACAACATTATCCGTTTACAATTAGTGTGATAACTTTTGACCTATCGATAGTTGGGAATGAAAATCTCGTATCTGCATTTTAGTAAACTTTACAATGGAAAATAACAGTATAATAACTAATAGTATGTATGGAAGAAAAAATAATTTTATTCTAGGACTACAGGAAAGTTGTGTGATACGAGTACCATATTCTTTTTTTAGTTATCAGTAGTTAGTTTCATTTGAGTTCTGGAAGCCACCTAAAGTTTTTATAATTATTTATAAGAACCAATGTGCTACAGCTAATTGAAAATAAGTTATGATGCTTCAAAGTTGCAAAAATTGTGAAGCGTTATAGACTGAGCCAAGTGTTTACATCGAAAGATTTACATGTAGTTGATTCACAATTTATCCAATTTAAACAAAAAGAATGATGAATTTAGTAATTGTGAACCAATTGCGACAGACGACCAAGAACGGTGCGTTTTGAAAACTGACGCTATAAATGGAACCATAAATCACTTCAAATGTTTGAGTTCTTTAAAAAGAAAACAAAACAAGTCTTGAAAATTAAAAAATAGATTTTTTTTTTCTTAGATTTTATTTATTTTTGTGTTCGATTATTGCGGTGAAGTTCTTCAAGATTGTCATTTTCTTCATCAATTGCATTAGGCGATAAACGGCCTAAAATAGTGTTAGGTACCATTTCACTTTTAAACCAAAGGAATAAAATTACCTGCGACGAAGTAAGTTCTTTATTCTGCGACCACGAAGAAGCAGACACAAGAATCGTATTCCATCTTTCTCGGTTCAAAATAATAATAATATTTTGTTAACTTCGAACGACAAGAATGTGTTGTTGATACTATTATCGAATAGATATATTCAATTATACCTATTCTATAATAATATCCTCCCTTGCGGTAATGAAAATATTTGAACGGGAATATTATTTTCAACTTTAATCTCTAGCCGACGTACAGCGTATCGACCAATGGACAAATATAACAAATTGAACTATTTTCTACCAACCTTCGAACATAATCTTCTAGGATTATAACATTCTTTACAATATTTTTTAAGTCAATACAATGGATAAAGTGCAGCTATCAATCCTTTGCAATAAACACCTTATTAGTATCAATTTATGTTTCTTACTGGCAACACTTGGCTTTTCTATAAAATTACAACTCCAAGTATGAAATTTACAGGCCCAGGACATTTGTCCATAAAATATCTAAGAACACAATATAAATATAATATTGATATTTCGTAAATTAACATCATTTAAGCTGATTCACTATATTCTTCGCTACTGATTTCTGAATCTATATTTATGTCACCAATGTCCAATATGTCAAATTCATCACTAGATTTACAAATTAAATTTAAATTTACGAAAGGAGAAATTTCATTTGCAGTAATTTGCGTTGATAACAGGGCATGTTAAAACGAATTTAATGCATACAAGGAGGGAAAGCAATTCTTGTGAACACTATTTACCAAAGACTTTAACAATTTATATTTCCCCCCAGTTAAATCTAAATACAGAGCTAGTGTTTGAATATGGCATTTTCAAATACACACCTGGGCCTGTAAATTTCGTACTTGAAGCTGCAATTTTATAGAAAAGCCAAGTGCTGCCAGTAAGAAACATAAATTGATACTAATAAGGTGTTTATTGCAAACTATTGATAGTTGTACTTCATCCATTGTATTGATTTGAAAAACAATGTAAACAATGATATATTCCTAGAAGATTATGTTCGAAGTTGTATTAATAGATTTCAAATAGTAATTGACTCGTTAGAAAACAGTTCAATTTTGTTATATTTGTACAATGGTCGATGCATTATGTGTCAGCTCGGGATTAAAGTTGCTAATAATACTCCCGTTCAAATTAGAGCTATTTCATTAGAGCAAGGGAGGATATTATCGTAGAATAGTTATTTAAATCTAACACTATATAAGGCCGTTTTTCGTCTATTGCGATTGATGAAGAAAATCGGATTCTTGAAGAACTTCACCGCAAGAATAAAACACAAAAATAAATAAAATCTCGAGGAAAAGAACTCAAACATTTGATGTGATTTATTGTCCCATTTATAGCGTCAGTTTTCAAAACGAACCGTTCTGGTTCGTCTGTCGCGATTGATTTTTACTCACTATACCAATTTGTATAATAGATACAGGGTATTTTTTGACACCGATCTACTTGATCTCATAATACTTTAATTATGTAACGATGCGAATGTGGCTTGTGTTTAAGAAACTTGAAACTTGAATTCAAGAAAATAGTTGCCAATATACTGATGTAGGTTTGATTTATAAAGATTACATAGTTCTAATATTGGAATCTCGGTAAAAATTACAACAAGCGGTCACAGAATGGTGTGAAAAACTTATACAAGAAAGGTCATGAAAATTAGTATAGCTATAAGTCAAATCTTACAAGTGGGCAGGAAACAATATAAAATCTATATTTCCTAGTTACATAGCACCAATAATGCGAGATTCGAGAAATTCGTACAGGAATATTTCACAATGGATAGCAAAGGTAAAAACTGTTTACTACGAAAAATTTAACAAGGTGGTTGAAAAGATAGGGGTGGAACTGGAAGTCATTTGTAAAGAATGTAATTGAAATTCCAGAAATTTCAGAGAAGCCGGGTGAAACCATGACTTTCTTAGCTTCGGAGTGGGCATAGGCGTTAAGATGAGCCCCGACGATCTGAATCTCGAACTACTACTCAAACCCAAGCAGGTAGGGACCCCAGATCCTATTATTGCTGGATTTGTTCGGCAAACTGCACGAGATGAGATTATGGAGCAGAGAAGAACGAAGAGAGACTTCTCTATACGCCAACAGACAGTGTATATGTGAGCGAAGTGATCGCTCCATAATCTCATCTCGTGCAGTTTGCCGAACAAATCAAGCAATAATAGGATCTGGGGTCCCTTCCTGCTTGGACCAAATTTGAACCAAAAATTTGAACCAAATTTAGGAAGAATCAATCTCAATAAGAAAATCAATTTAGCGGGCGAGTCAGAATTGTTTCATGAGAAAGGACTATCTGTGGTATAAATACTTCAACGATGACTAGGTATCACGTTTTGAAGAATTCAGATGATCTTGTGCGGTTCAAAGATAGATGTACAACCACAAACAAGTTAGACAATCCTACCAATATTGCGGTACAGTTACTACAGGGCTCAATTGTTGAATGGCCAAGAAGTCAATAGAAGCAAGGAAAGTTGCACAACTTGCTATCATTTAATGAGGACAATTTCATTTTTATTGCAATTATTTAAATTAATTATTAAACCTTTAATAACTATTCTTGTTATAAAAATCATTTATTTAGTCATGAATACATTTGGTAAGCAGCCACTTAGTTCACGATCTCACAAATTCTTCAGCCTTCCGAATTTTTACTTTCACTTACAGACACATGCAAATTAAGGGAAAGTATTGCGATCGTTAAAATTTTCGAATCTGAGTTTTCAACGGAAATACATGTATTGAGGTCCCCTGAGTAGAAATAACGCAAAAGTCTGTGTGTATGTTATGAGTCTAGCTCAAAAACGAAAAGTCGTACGAAATTGAAAATGCATATTTAAGGTTTGTATATACTCGATATGTTACCAGCAACTTTTCTTTGTCAAAATTGGCTAACCGGCAATAAAGTGGCACTTTATAGAATCGATTAAAATCATTTTTAAGATTTTCACAAAAATGGCTCTAACAATTTTGATTGAACTCGGTATATGAATGTATAATTAAGTGGTCATTAATATCATTTAGATCTCATCCCCATTGACGTCACTTTACAGGGCTTAAATGCCCAATGTTCAACATGTCTTCCTCTAAAGTACTTTTAATTTGGTTTATTTTAAATAATTAATTATTTGAAATTGGTATAAATAAAACAAGCTAAACATAAGTTTTGAAAGAATTTGATAATTGAATAAAAGGGAAAACATAAAAGATACTTATGTAGCTCAAAAATTAATCTTCAGATATAATAGTCAGAAGGTATAAGGCAAAGAGTTTCAGAAAAAAAATCTAATATACTAAAAAGTAATATTTACAGTGAAGAAAAAAATATAAATAATAACTTCTGATGACTATTATTATGTCACGAATCGTCTGTTTTCAATGAAATTAAACAAAATTTACAAACTAAATGTAAACTTTTAAAAGTTCGAAAAATGTATTTAAAATCCACCTAAT